CACCTTATAAGTTTTATGGCTTCATGACATTGTTTTCTTTTATTCAAATAATTACATTGTATAACTCAGTCTTTAGAAAATACAAAATAACAATTAGTACTTTAAGAGAAAGCTTTTTGAATGGTCAAAACCTCAATTTCATTGGATTTTTTAATATTTATAAAAGAAGAAAAGATAAAAAAAAATTCTTTGTGATCTCTTAAAACATCATCAATCCCTTAGGATCTAGGCTTGTCATTTCCAAATATATCTACATTCTACTGAATTATACATTTAGGACGAGGAGTCCATGATGATTCACTATGCATTTGTGTCTTATTTTTTCATATAAAAATATCATTTGGTGGTCATAGTAAGTTTATCTTAATATAGTATAAACTCCCGTAACAATATTTTTTTATATAATGCAATTCTATGAAAAAATAAATAATTTATATCACCTCAGTTAGTTTCAATTAATCAAATTATTGTGCGCATTCCAAATGGAATAAAATTAGTACAAAGACAACAACTTTTAGAAAAACCATATATTTTATCTAAGAAATCTCGAAATTCAACATGAACCTATAAACCTATAAATGGTTATATATATATATATTGCACTTGATGTCATATAATACAAAGATTGTTTTTATTGCAATAAGATTAGGGTTTAAAAAACTAGTTCATTTATAATATTTATATTATCTAATTTAATTCAATTTGTTAAATTCATATAATTTAAATATTATATATGATAATAAATCAAAAAATTTAAAAAATAAATATCACATATTAGATATATGGTCAGAATTTTTAAAACTCGATTAATTTGACTCAACTTGTATGCCCTGTATACTTTTTTTGTTTTTATATTTGATAATTTGTTAAATAAGTATTTATTTTTATTTTATTTAAAAATGTTTCATCTTTAAAGTTTTTTATAATGAACCTCTTATTAAAAGTATTTAATATAACAAAAAAAATTACAAGAAAAAAAAAGAAATATATCTAAAATTTAATAATGATATAAGATATAAAAATTAGAATTAGTGTTTCAGGTATCATGACATATTAAGCCACAGCATAAGAAATATAGTACACCGAATTTTTATTTTTTTTTAGATTAACGTGGGTGTTCGGGCCAGCTTACGCGCACCACGACTAATCCCACGGGCCCTGAAGTTAACGACCATGTAAGCCTCCAGTGGCCATCATATGAGCAACCAAGGACTCGAACCTGAGATCACAGAGAAAGCAAACCCCTTGATCCCAACTCCTTATCATTTGATCACCACCTAGATGGTTATTGCACTGAAATTTTTGCTTTGCGTGGAAAATGGTTCGGCCTCCTAGCATATAGATTCCAAATTGAACCTTGGGAAAAGTGAAAAACCAAGAAACAATAGAATTACTCGTATAAATGTACATTTTGTTTCTTTATTTATTTATTTTTTAAAAAAAGGCCTTTTGATTTCATCCACAAATAGAATTTGATACTGGAAGAGAGAGCTCACCATGGAAATGAAAGCACTTAGTCTAAGCAAGACTTTTTAGGGTTTTATGCTCTCTTCATCACCCACACTTGAAAATGGTACAATTCATCACCTTTTATTCATAGTTATCAACTTCTTGATAGCAACCTTAGAACAACTAGCTCTCCATATGATGTGGTCCTCCTAATTATGCCAGTCTATACAGGTCATGCTCAGCTATAGAGAGAGAGAGAGAGAGAGAGGGAGGGAGGGGTGCGTGAGAGAGAGAGAGAGGGAGAGAGAGAGGATTATTGGATAAGTGGAGAAAACGGCATGTATAAATAGAAAGAAACAAAGTAACTGACAAGGGAGGGGAGGACTGAAAAAAGAGTTTTATAAATAGGACCTCTATCATTTCCAAATAAGATGACATATGGGGTTTTGTATTTATGGCAAGAGGTGATTGGCTAGAGTATCCTTAAGATAGTTTTAAGCACAGCAGTGGATAACATAGTACAAAGCACCAGCCAAACCCTTCCTTGACAATGTGTTTGTGATGGAGATATGGTTGTATGAATTACGAAAGAGAGAGTATGCTTTCTTTTTTTATTATAATTATAATTACTATAGAAGAAATTATAAGATTTGAGTTTTTTATTGTACATACATTGTTTCTTCTTTTACATTTCACTGCTCACATCATATATAGCCACTTTTTTGTTTTCCTTGTATGCCTTAAATTTTATGCACTTCATACTCGTATCATTAAACTTTTTCTTTGTCAAATTTATCAGTGTAAATTATGTTGAAGTCGTTCTACATGTTAGGATCTATTTTTAATTATATGCTCTCACATGTCCCATATGTCATTCGATATTTTGATGTTAAATTGAAAACTAAATTAACAAAATTGAGTTTTAATTTGTTCTTAAATAAAAAATTAAAAGAACAAGGATTAAATTGATATTTTAAAAAATACAACCTCCTCACTTATACTATTCAAAAGGCATGAAAAAGTTCACCTAGGTCCCTCAAGTTTTAATTTTTTTCATATATAATCCTTATTCTTTAGGATTTTGATGTTTTGATCCATAAGGTTTTCTTTTATTTCAGTCCTTGAATGTTTACAGAAAAAGAGAAAGTCATTGAAAAAAAAAAGCTCTTGAATGACCAAATTTCAACTACAAATAATTACAATTTTTATGCCATTGGATTTGTCTTTAAAATGGAGCTCGATAAGGGTGTTTTTACCATCAATAATGCCCGACAAGATAGATTAAGATTTGAAAAAAATATTTAATTTGGTTTGATTTTGATTTTTTTTATCAAATTAAAATATATTTTATAGTTAAGAATAGAGTTTTAAAAGTCTATATAATTTTATTTTATTTTCATGGTGTGGTTAAAAAAGGGTTGCAATTTAAGATTTTAGATTTTAAAAAATTTAAATTTTGATTTTTCGATCACTAGAGCCACAACTAACAATCAAAAAACATTGCTGGTGGAGGATGACATATTATTTGTGCTATATGTAGGCAAATGATGTATTATTTATTGTTTTGTTTTTTAAACAAATATATTAGACTTGATATACTACATTTCAAGTACATTTAGGTTATATAATTTTGGATCAAATAAATGGGTCAATCTTTCTGACCCAAGTGCCTCGCTCTGTTTTGAATGGCACCTTTTTTATATATTTTATAATATAAATCACTTTAAATAAGTTTATTATAATATATTTAATAAACTTATCTAATTATGTCATAGTTTTGAAATAATATTAGATATCTTTATGGTAATATTAATCTAATATGTTTAATTTCTTAAAAACTTTCATATATTTTTTATTGAATTTACTATTAATATATTAGTGTATAAATTATCATTTATAATTTTTAATTGAAATTTTCTTTTAAGATTATGATGAATTTTAGTTTGAAAAACAATACTTTTCATTAAAAAAATACATGTTTTGTATAATAATAATAATAATAATAATAATAATAATAATAAAAGGAAGCTTTGATGAAAGAGATACATTTTTTCCTTCTTATTTCAAAACAATAGAATTTTTTTGAATTTCTATTTTAACCAACTTCATTTTGTATTCAATAAATCATAATACTAATAAAAAATATTTTTTTAACCAATATAAAACATTAATAAGAAAATAGAATTAATTTTTTTCAAAATCTAAATTATTGTTTATCTTATACATAACCATATTTATTGCCATATAATTAAAAATTGCGTGCATCACAAATCAAATATTTACATGTGTATCTATTTATTGGTTTTTATAATAAAAATCAGCTTATCATATTACTATTTAATTTGTGTTAATATTTTTTTATAATTTATTAATTTATATATTCTTAAATTCATTTAATTAAAAATAAATATAATCTCTTTAATTTTATTTAAATTTTTTATAAGATTAGAAAAAATATCCACAACAACAATATTCTCATTTATATTGTAAATTAATTTAGGATTTTTTTCGCAAGGAAACGCGGGATGCACATAATAGTTAGCTCCTAAACCAATAAGTACGCATGGGTTTGGAAAGAACCCAACAAGCAACATTCTCGCATAGACTTAGACTTGATAGAAAGACACGAGTGAGTGTGTATGATGGCCTGATGGGGTTTCCCTTTTAAATGAAAGTGACATGTATGTCCTGTATACATTCACAGTCAAAGCAAGCATTGGCTCTAATGACTCAGGACGGGCTCACAATAAGACGCCCTTTGAGTTTAGGAAATAAGTATCCTTCCATTCTAGGGTTAGACACAGCTAGCCACGTGGAAGATTAAAAATGAAATACAACTACTATGAACCATAAGAATCTTGTCCTGTGACAGACAACCAACACTCCCACACACACAAACTCCTTGGTTTGTTGAAAGAAGAGGGAGTTCAATGTTCAAGTCTCATCTCACCTGCTAGCAACCACGTGAAGTGGCACCAATACTTGGTGTTTCCTGTCCACTCACTTCCCACAACATTGCCTGTTTTCTTTCTCTCTTTCCCTTTCATGCTTTTAAGCCCAAAAAAAACACCAACTTTTTAAACAAAAGAAAAAAAATGATTTTAAAGAAAAAGATGGTTCTTTGTCTCCCATAAATCCCCTCTCCTGGGATGCCTTAACTCCCACGATCATCATTCAAATCCCCACCTAGATCCCCACACCCCTCCCCCTCCCCCTATCTCCCATTCTTACATCCCCCCCATCCCCATGGACATGTAGTACTTGTGCTGTGATGTCTTTCTCACGCTTAGTCGGAAGGTAAATGGATTTCCCCTGTCTTTCTCTATCATAAACTCACCAAACATAATTGTTATAAAACAAGCATACAAACACGATTAAACAGTGGCAACAGCTGTCTTTCTCAAGCTAGCTAGCTAGGTGCTCACTGAGAGAGGGGGGAAAGGGAAAAGGAGATAAGGAAACAGTAACAAATTGCTGTCTTTCTCACTTATGATTTCCATTGTTTGCAGATAAAGTGAATTTGAAAAGGATGGACTTGAACTAGTGAAGTGGAGAACTCTTTCCACAGGAGGCATTTTAGGCTAGAGTACATTGGTGCACACGTCATTCTCAAGCTACTAGTCCACCGGGTAGCTCTACGGCGGATAGGTGTTTTTTGGTGCAATTACGAAGCTCAAATGTTTCCATTAAGCAACAATGGCAATGACCCCATGTCCTACAATGACCAACAAGCTTATAGCATGCCCTTTTTCAGTGATATCATTTCCAATTCCAAACAATATGTGCCTCCTCCTTTATCTTTTTGCCACTTGCCCTCTCCTTTTTTTGCTTATGATCAGCTAGAATTAGAAGACCATTCTATTTTTCTCCAGCAAAACTATGACCTTTTACTTCACCAGCAACCCTTGAGAACTGCGGCTACCAGTACTACTCCCTCTCAGAGTACTGTTGTTAATAACATGGTGGATTACAACAAAAATGACGTTATTGAGATAACGGAAATCTGCAACAAGCAATCCAACAGCAGCAATGATCAGATCCCAAGAAAGAGATCTTCTAAGAAAGATCGACACAGCAAGATTAACACGGCTCAAGGACCAAGAGATCGGAGGATGAGATTGTCGCTCAAGGTTGCCAGAGAGTTCTTTGATCTGCAAGACAAGCTACGCTTTGATAAAGCAAGCAAGACTGTAGAGTGGTTACTCACACAGGCAAGAACTGAAATCAAGAAACTATCTAGTGGCTTCCCCGTTATGAATTATAGCTGCAGTGTTGGCACCAAGAGTGCATCTTCTACTTCTGAGTGTGAAGTGCTGTCCGAAATCCATATTGACTCTACCCTTAAAGTGAGAAGTGTTTCTAAGGGTAAATCCTCACTATGCGTCAAGAAAGAGAGGAGGACTAGTAGAGCTTCATCATCACGTAAAGCTCCATTAAACCCTTTTGCAAAGGAATCAAGGGAGAGGGCAAGGGAGAGGGCAAGGGAGAGAACGAAAGAAAAGTTGCGGAGTCGAAGTCGAAGCCTCAATGAATCGAAGCTTTGTGAATTAGAAGCAGTGAACGATGAATTCAATCAATTCGCAGGTTGTTGGAGTCCATTCGAAACAGATGATCAAGAATCTGGTACTCGCAATATCAATCCTTCCTTAGAAGTCCAAATGGCTGAAGCTGAAGTGCCATTCTATCAAGAGCAAGAGCAATTAGATACTCGTGAGGGGATGATTGATGAAACCTTGGCGAATATGGGCAAGTGGAGTCCCTCTCTTCCCACCCATCTGCACAAAAATGGAATTCCTCAAGAGGTAAGCTCCAAAAGGGAAATTTCTTTATTTCCCAAGATGTTAGGTTTGATTTTGCTTAATTACTCTATTGAAATTATTTGATACACCTGTTGTTCAGATTTCTGACCATATATATATATATATATATATATATGTAATTGGTTGCAGAATCAATTCACAGACTTTCAATATCCTTTGTACAAAACATGGGATCATGAGGCCTACAACATTGACGGTATGTGCTAGCATGGATATTCATCTTTCTCACCCTTGATGTGTCAAGTGGACAAAGATTTGAAGAATACTATGTATGGCTTGTCTATCTGTTTGGAGTGTAACATAAAAGTTGTATCTTTTCATCATGAGATTTTCTTGTGAAGTGTTTTTTCAATGATTGTTAACTAGTTAATTTTAATTTTTTTTAATGAAATCAAGTGTTGTGTGTTTCTTTCGTCTTTGTTTCATATAGTAAGCATATAACTCATGGGATATATTCTTTGAAACTGCAAAAGAGGGCTTCATATATATTAAAAAATCAAAGATTTTTCTGTCCTATATTCTTCTAGGGTTAGCTCTCTACTATTTATCTCTTAATATGCAACTCTGAGGCTCTGCAGAACTTCCTAGGTCCAATTAGCCCACTTGATTGGATCAGGAAAAAAAAAAAAAAAACCCTTCAAGGAAAAATGATTGAATAGACGGAAGGGTCATTCGCTGTCCACTTTCAAGTGTATCAGGTGCTCATACAGAAATTTCAACGCATGCATCTATGATCTCATATATCTTTAATTAGTTGAAACGAAAGGGTTGCAAGTTCAACCGTTGATAAATTTGTTGCGTGCAAGCAGTGAATTTGAACTCTTTTGTAACTTACAAGCTTGAATTGAGCCTGCGCTGGAACATTAAAATTAATGAACTATTGAATTTCAATAGTAATGTTCTGATATTCTTGAATTTCAGAATAATTAAGTTTTGTAATCCATAGCAATAGAAATTATGATTGGTTCCTACCAGATTTTGATAGGCTAGTTCCCTGAGATACGTTCTTATTGGAATCAAGGAGATGCAATGAAGGAAAATTTCAATTCAAGAGTTCATATTCTTTATTTTGTGGTTATCAATATGAACAGAACTTTTCTTCTTTTAATCACACGCGCATATATATATATATATATATATATATATGGTACCAAAATTGATGAGAGCTAACAGAAAATGTTGATTTATATATGAATCATTCACTTGGAAATTTACTTTCAAGACACTTTATGGTAATAATGTATATTCTACTTGTAAATTCCTTTATGTTCACTTGTTTTCAGGCAAAATGATTTAAGATTTGTAGTGACTATGGAACAATTCACTTTTGTAGTACATGAGCTAATATATTGTATGTGATCACAAATTAATACTTGGCGAATGAACAATTACATGAAAATAAACGATCTCCAAAAATATTTCATCCCCGTTTTGTGGAAAGATTTAATCACAATGCAGATGATCTAGCGAAATTTAAGTTAAATTAGGAACAATTTAACCTTTTGTATATCTAACCATACAGTTTAGATAAAAGGTACTTTATATGGAATACACAGCCAATAACGTTATGAATTAAGATTCTGAGAAAAAGGTTTTTTCTTTTGCTATAAAGAAGAGGTTCGAACCAGAAACTTGATGAAAAAAGAAATGTTCATATTAATTAAATGAGCCAAAACTCATTAAAAAAACACTAACAAAAGTTACCAACGTGGAAAACTTCCAAGAGGTTACGATATTTGTTTCATGTCCTTATCTTATCCTTCGAAGGGTTAATCTCTATTAGCTGTAAATATTTGAAGGAATAGCACCTCGGTGTCCACATGATTTTCTCTAATGAATTAATTGCTAATTAATTATCATCAGACCTGCTACCAAATTAAAAGAGTTAATTATCGGTGCAATTAATTAAAATTTTCATTTTGGATTTTGAAAAATCTTATGCTCTACACCTTTATTTATACATTTTTTTAATGATTATACTGTCTGCCTTCCTTCTGTTAAAAATATCCTTCAAAGGCCTGATACAAAGGAAATTCAATTGAATTTCAATTAAATTACCATAAACTAACTAAATTACCTCTATTCATATGAAAAGGTATCAAGAATAAACAATATACACCCAGACTTGTTCCAACGAACCAAAAACCAAATATCCAGAATTTAAAATCTATAAAATTCAAACTACAAAATAAAAATTATACCAAATTGTTACAGTAAACTCAAATTAAACTTTTAACTTGTCGAATTCAAGAATATCCAAATTCTTCACATCCACAAAGATTCTAGATTTATTGGCAACAAAATGAAAAGAAAGAACCCAACCTAATCAACTAAGAACTCGTGCTTCAGTGAAATTTAATAAAAAAAACAAAACAATTAGACAGTTGCCTCTTGTTAGATGGAGAGAAGAATCTTCCGTTGAATTTGTAAAACAAGGGTTCATATTTTCTTAGAGAGAAGTTTAGGGTGATACCTCTAGTTAGATAGAGAGATGAATACATAATAAGAGGAATCCTTTCTATAATAAAGTGTGTTGAAAGTAATTAACTCAGGTTGTTTCAGCATTAAAATGCTAGGCAGTGTTTGAAATTAAGTCAAGTCATGATACTAATTTCAATAGTTCATGAAAATAAAGTTAATTGTAATATAACTAGCATATATATGTGGAATTATATTCTACTTGTAACAATTTTCCCTTCAAGAACTTGAATTAAAGATAGACTCTTGGTCTCCCATTGTAAAAAACTCTAAATTATTAGTGACTTTCTTTGGCGGCGCGCGGCCCTTTCGTTCTTCTTCTTCTTCTTAGGTTTCTTTTATTTCATTTTACTGTTTTGATGTTTAACTCAAATCTAGATTTGATTTATTTTTTACTATTTTTTAGAGGATCGTGGATATTGAGTTGTGCCCGTTTAGAATAAAATCTCAACTTTGGTATGTTATGGTGGTTGTCTCTTGTTGGTTGGAAAAGATTGACCATGTTTGACCATTTTGCATGGTTAAATTAAATCTTATATTATTTAGACCCGGTGACGAAGTAGGGCAACTCAATTATGTATGTATTTTGTAAAATAAAATACCCTTGTTGGAAAATCCTAGTCAAGAAGTTTTAGTAAACTTTTGATTAAAAAAATATAATTGTATTTACAGTTAAATTAACATGCCATCACTTCTTTTATGAATGGGATCATAATTATTATTTATGATCTCATTCATGAAAAGAAAAATAAAACCTATCTTATTTTGTTATTCTTGAACCATTTAGTAAAAGTGACATTGAATTAGTAAAAGATTCTTGTGTCACAGGAGTTTTATATAGTTATTTCAAGGGATTGTAATTATTACAGTGCATTCAAGTTTATGAAATAATAAGATTTATATATTTTTAGGATGTAATAAGTGTAACTAATAATTAGTTTGTAATCACTTACAAATGTTTTCTTTACAATTTATATATTTTTTTTATCATCTCTAAAGTAACAAGAAACTTTTTTTTGTTGAAATTGCACTTAACTATCCATTAATAATTATCATAATTATGGAGAGATTAGCTATATTACAAAAGAAATATAAATTTTTATGATTTATTTAATAACTCTATTTAACAATTCATTAGTCATGAAATAAATCGCACTATTCTTCTTTGGAAGTGACAACATGTATACGTTTCGAGTCATATATAATTGAACAACAATATTAGTAACTAACATGATTATGGGATAATTAGTTAAGTTGGTAGGTAAAAAGATAAATTATTATAATTCAGTAAAAATAAAATATTTAATAATTTGTAATTTGGAGGTATTATAATGTAATAGAATAACGGTAACAAGCTCCGTGTGTCACCTTATATTCACTCACAACTAGTCCTCCATAATTTAGCAAAGATTACTTAACTCTCGTAAAAGGAGAAAACCTCCGAATTGAGCACGTAAAATGTTTGAAATATGATTAGTATGATTTATAAAAACATCAAAATAAAAATGTGAAGAACTGACCTCCCTTAATTATGGTGTGCGGAATGAAGCTTATCTTCCAATCAAGCATCACGACCAAAAAAAATCATTGCCTGGGCCCACCATCTTCAAGTTATATTGGTTGGCATGTGAAATGGGAAGGAAATAGTCATGATAACATTGCCCGGTTGATAACTCTAGCTCAGGCATCCATTTAACCTTTCGGTCCTTTTCTTTTTTTGGTTCACCGAGACAGACGTACAGACACATGTGGCAACCAGTGTCAATCATCCTCATAACATACCAGGCAAATAAGAGAGTGCTATCTAGCATTTATGCACCACATATCCTCGGGTCACTACGTCAATGGCGTGTGCGCCTTGGGCAAGTTTGGATAAGATAATACTTGGACAAAAAAAAGTACAATCAATCCAATTGTTTTATATAACAACCAATTCATAGATTATTATATCCAAAATTCAGAGTTTTGGCTATTAGTCTGTGATGATAGGAGAAATGGACATATTTAGTGAGAAACTTTCAATTGGAATGACATAAGTTCAGGGAGATATAATAGAGTGGTATAGACTTGTGGCAAGTATTAATTGGCCGTTTAAGTGCTTGCATATCCTTCCATTTTGCTTGTGCGAAGTAAGGGAAAGAAAGCACAGAAATTAGGGATAGAGAGTAAATTAATTTCTCTGGGGAGGTATTAAGCATACGTTATCTTGTTTTGTTTTTGTTATTTTTCCTGCGAAAACCCAAATTGATAGCAAAGTTGGAGAAGAACACATCACCTATATAGCTGTTGTCTAGATGTCATCAGTGAAGGTTTGGATTTGTATTATCTTTTTGGATATGATGGGGTTGAAGAGGAGGATGGTGGATCCGGGATATAAATGCTAAACTTGGAAAGAAACAGCATGCACGAAAAGTCAGGACATCATAGCTAGTCCCAAACCAGTTCTAAAGAAACAAAACAGACATCTGTGGAAGGACACTCAGATTCTAACGAAAAAGGCATAGATTCCTCTATCCTGTGTACTTCCTTAAGAGATTGGCATATGGTTTTGTCTTGTGAAGCAGTGAGGATGCCAGTGAATATTCTTTTCCTTACGGACCCTCCAACAAGATCGGACATAGATGGATTGACCATCGTGGTCTCTGTGCTGCCTTCATATTAATTTGAAGGGCATGCAGAAGAACATTATAGAGAAAAAAATTTATGTGGAAGTAAATCATTGGTTTCCAACATGATCGTTGGCTTATAATCAATAAGTTTAGTGAATAATCTTGTGCTTCTTAAGGATTTTAATTAATCATCATTACATTCCAAACAAGTAACAAAGAGGGGAAAAAGAGAAAGAATTAGATTAATAATTGCATTGACTTACCTATGTTGAAGAAGTGTAACTAAAATTTCCAGCAAGAATTTTATGGGTCCAATTTGTTCGAG